CAAATGGAATGGTTTGGCTTCCATGGGGAAGCTACGGAGAAATGCTCACTAACAGCCAGCTGAAGGGCTTATTTGAAATAGAGGCTTTGTAGAAGGTCATGGTGTTTCCACTTCTGGGTGTGGTTTTTTTCAGACTTCATAATTTTTCCTTTCGCTTGCTACCTTCTTTCTGCCTTTTTCTGAAGAAAAGCCCTTCTTTTACTGTTCATGGTATTTTCTATCAAACTTGCCTTTTGCCCTCACTTCATCATCTCTCCCCACCAGCGGGGGAGTGCACCATGATAATCCTTGGGATTTCTCAAATGGTCTGTTACCAGCCACAGTCACAGCTGTTGAAAAAATTTAAAATGTCTCCTAAATTGGTTTCCCCCAGCCCTTGGCATTATCCTCAAACTCAGATTTGGGGCTTTTAATAGGAAACCTATTGAGAGTCGTAGTGATTCTGATGAAGATTTGTGTACATGACCTTAAGAACTAGGAGGTGCAACGCACAGTGCACTGAAGGCAGTAGGAGGCTTTCCACAGGCTTTGGTGCTCTTTGGCTCAGGCCGTTAAAGAATAACAGGAAACATTGGAAAATGCACCGAGGGTAAACAAAGCAGTTTAGTTACATTAACTGTCTAGAGGAGAAGCTCCACTAATGACTGAAACAAACAAAGCAAGTGCATTTATTTAGCATTGCTGTGAGAAAACAAATGGCTGTTAATTGTATTTAGCTAAAAAGGGTTACACAAGAAATTGGCCGGCTCAGGCCCAGAGTGTAATTCTGGCATCCTGACCCAGTTCTGATTGCTGCATAGAATCTGACAGAGAATAGTGTCCTGGAAAGGAGCACGGACTTCAGAGAGGCCAGGGCACTGAGAGACTGCATGCTCTTTTTTTATTCATAGCAATCCTGCTTTAAAGTCCCGTTCTACAAAAAAGCAGCATCAAAGAGATCTGTTGTTGCTGCCTCCCCGTGACTCCTGATAAAATTTGCCTTGCTGTGATTATGTTAACGGTCAGGACTCAAACTGGTCAGGCAGCTTGGTTCTGGACTCACTTATGATGAGTAACAATAAATATGCTGCAGGACTCCTTAGGTGACGCCTTCGTGTCTTTGACTGATAACTAATGCATTATTTATATTAGAAAAGAAGCTGGAGCGTGAAACCAGAGTCCCGTTGTGCTTACTCTGAATAAACATAGAATGAAAGGAGTTTAAGGGCTGACAGTCTAAGCTGTTCTTGCTTGCCTTTGTGCAATCTCATTGTCTTCAGGAGGAGAATGTGACGAACTGAAGGCTGAAATCTACCCTGTGCTTAGAATGGAGCTAGTGACTGTGGTAATAACAGCACAAAGGGAAATCAGGTCCTGCCTGTCTGTAATGGCTCTGCTGGCTTCGTGGTGTAAAAGATAACACACAGCATGTGTTTACTGCTCCTGATAAAATAGATAGTCATGACTCGGAGAGCACTGAGGACAGTGGGTTTGCAGGGTCATGTAGTGCCATTTTGACATTCCTGCTTCAAATCTAAGAGCCGTTCTTATCAGCTCTATTTTCCAAGTTCTGTTCATGTAAGAATAGAACTCCTTCCCATGGCAGAATATTTCAAGAGACTGATTATCTGCTTTTAATTCCATGTGAACTTCTGAATAGCAGGTAAGATTAGATGATCACAAAGAAAATGCAAAGTACTGAATCAGCGCTTGCACTGCTGTTCAGTACAAATGCTCTGTCTGATTTATTTCTGCTAAAAGGAAGGGGACTATTCATTAGTGAAAAGAATCAGCATGGCATTACATTTACTATGTGTTTAGGAAAAACTGATCCCTTTGATGTAGCTGGAGACCCTTGAACTTCAGAAAAGAATGTGTTAGCATGCTAGGGTATGCCTTAGTCCTGCAGGTCATTTAATCCTTTCCTCAAGTGGGTCATTGTAAGGTAAAGTAGATGCTGGGAAAAGTTCTGTACTGCCAATTAAAACAGGCTCCAAAGGTGTTGCTGGTTTCATTCTACCAGAAACTCATCACAGAGAGGCCAGTAGAGGTTGCCTGTGTACCTTGAGGCCAGATCCCAGGCTGATATACACTGGCATGGTTCTTTTGACTTCGCTTTATACCAATAGCTCAGGCCCAGTTCCTTTATGCTTATGACTTTTTAAAGTATTTCTGTTGAGAAATCAGGAATGATTCAGAAAGGTGTCGATTTCCACACGTGTAAGAATTGAATGTATTTCAGAAGAAGCCTTTAAATAGCTTTGAGATGTGAGTTCTGACTCAGTCTTTATAGAGAATACTTTCTGTCTGCCTCGGACACCTCTGCAAAACCAAAGCTGAGTAATGAATGTTAGCCTCCCCACTGCTCCTAGGCAGACATCTTTCATGATGTCAGGTTTAAAATAAAGTTAAGGAAAGGAATGTACTAATTGGTAACCAGTACCCTTGGTGTTTGCCAACAAAACATCCCACTTTCAAGAAATTTAACAAAGAATAAATGAAGTAAGTCAGAAAGCTAAGGCATTTCTTAATTAACAACTCTAGACCAAACACTAGTCTTTTGTGGAAGAAATAAAATCGGGGAGCCTAAAACACTTTGAAAGTCAGGAAGATGATTTGTTTTCACCCTTTTCAAGTGGAACAGCTGAGGTGCTGACCAGGAGGCCATTCAGGAAGCGACCGGAATGGCGGAGCTGCCAAGTCTCGTCCCACAGAAGCTCTGACAGAGCAGAAACCTGAAGGACTCAACTTTGAGTCTCAGCATAGTGGCAGTCACAAGGCAGGAAAGCTGAAAGAGACTGTGGAAACCCACCTCATTTCCATTAGAAAAGTTCAGAGGGATAACTGCATGCCCACAAGCCTTCTAAACTGGCATTTTTCAGCAAGCTTTCCTCTGGAAGATTTCCAGCAAGCTTACATACCTTGGCTTCGTGGCACTTAGCCCTTCCTTTCCTGACTTTTAGGAATACAAACTTTAGATGGGCTTATTTGCATTGGAGGGATACTGCTGGAACTTTCTTCCTAGCATGTGAAGAGTTTTCTCTGTGTGTAGAAACAACACGGGTAAAATATTTGGAGTGAAATCCAGGCTCCATTGAAGTCAATGGCAAAACTCCCATTCACTTCAGTGGAGCAGGAATTTCACCCTTTACTGTTTTGAAGTTAGAATTACTAATAGACTGTTAAATTATTCCTACGTGCATCAAACAAAATGGGCTTGATTTTAATGTTTCTGCTGTGTTCAAAACCCACAAATGTTTAAAAACAAGAATAACCAGGAATTTCTGAGTCGAAAAATTATGTTAAATGTAGTTTTGCTAGAAATAATAATGTCCCTGGAGATAAACCTAAAATAATAGACTCCACCATGTAATCTTCACTTTAAGCTAAAAATAGCATAGATGGTGGTTTAATCTAAGCCATCATTATCAAACTGTTGAAGCCGGTTTTGGTTCACTGCAACTAGAAATGTATGTCGTGTTTAGGCTTTGAACGGTTGAGTCCCAAAACTGGAGAGAAGCAAAGCCAAGAGCACAGTCAGAAAGCAAACAGGAGCCTCTGATTTGTAGAGAAATAGCATGGATTAAATTGTGCAACACCATATTTAAAAGGACTGCTCCTGGCTTGCTCAGTCCAGCCAGCTGGAGACCTAGTGAGTTCCTATTAATCGGTGTTTTCAGCCCCAAATTGGTGACTATTATTTTGCTAGAAAGTGATGGTGGCCATACAAGGCATCTTTTGTCTGAAAGCCATTTTCCATTTCACATTGGACTAGAAGGAATAATGTTAACCTTTCAAAATATTATTATTCTGTATGATTAAAAAATGGTTTTAATGATCATTTCAAAGTAGGATGGGAAGCTTAACTCAGGCAGCATGTTACGATGGGCTGAGTGTAGGACTGACAGCCAGGACTTCTGATGCTTCACTGATTTAACAGGTGAACTTGGTCATACCAGTTATCCCATCTTTGCCACCGTGAAGGCTCTTCCCAAGGGCTTAAGCTTCAGCAGCAGAGTGTCACCTTCCTAGAGTGGCAGCAGAGATTTATTCTGAACAGTGAGTTACTGTAGCAGCCCAATGATAGAGATTCTACTAATGACAGAAGGGTCCTGAGTGGGAAGTTGGGTGGAGGTTAAAGTAATACTTTTCTATTTCTGAATACTTTTTGAAATCCTCACTGAATGTGTTTGAATTCCTCTCTGTATGTTTATACTACACAATCTGCTGCTTGTTTAGATGGTTTGTTTTGCTGAGTAGGTCATGTTCTGTTCTGGCTGAGACTGGCATGGGACAGTCTTGGTGCTTCTTTGGACAGTACTTGCAGAAATGAAGGCTTGATTCTGCCTCAGGCTCCTATCTGAGCATTGCTGGTAGAGAGTCAGGTTGGAAGGGCCACTGAAGCTCATCTGGGCCAACCCACGGCTCAAAGAAGGATCAGCTTCAAAGTTAGATGAGACAGAGTTTGTACAGTACCACAAATTTAGACAGATGTTTTTCCTAAATGTAGAGTTTTTCCAAATTCATATTGACACAACAACAAAATGGGCCCATCTCTAGTATTAATTTGTTGACCATTCTCTCAGTATGATTATTGGGACCATATCCATTAAATTTGGGGAAGCAATCCAAAATTTTCAGTAAACACTAGCTGTGATACTCTAGCAGATATCCTTCAGCAGTGCTACATCACTTCTCCAGGTTCACTTCTCAGGAACCCTCAAATAGTTACATTTCCTGGCAGGAAGGTTGATAAGAAGCACATTCAAAAGTTTCAAACACAGAAACACAAAAACATTTGTGAAATTAAGAAAATGGATAAATAAAAGGATTAAAGGAACATATAAATTATTCATGAAGCAGGTATCCAGGGCAGTAGGTGAATGATTCTGTGTTGTATGTGCAGCCTGTTTTCAACTTGTTAATTGCGGAGACTGTCACTACTAAGTCCAATGGGAAATGAGAAACTCAAATCATAAGTTGACAGATTTTTTTTGTCTTGTTTTGTTTTAATCAAACAGCATGGGAATGAGCCATGATGACGATCATCAACCCTGTGCAGGGAGGTCTCATATTATGTCTGGAGAATGGGTGAAAGGCAGGAACCCAAGTGACCTTTCCTGGTCTTCGTGCAGCCGAGACGACCTTGAAAACTTCCTAAAGTAAGGATTGTGCTGATTATCAAAAATCCTATCAAACAAGAATCCAGTGTGTTATTTGAAAGTCAAAGTCTAAGCAATTTTCCTTAAAAAAAAAAAAAGGGGTATGCTTGTGTCATTAGGGTGTACAAGTTTCAGTATGTCTCCATTATAGTAACCCCTTTAAAACTAAGGTTTGCAGAGAGGTAGAAGAATTATGTGCAATTGTCAATATACTTAATAGCTTCTTAAAAACAATCCCAGATCACCTTCATTTTACAAAACATACCCTTCATGTTTGCAATGACAAAAATCTGTGTTTAGATGGCCTGAAAAAATCTCCACTGCCAGCTTTATGCTGTGGCTTTTACTGTCATTCTTGTTATTAAATAACTTTTATTTTATGGAAACTACTTTGCCTGGAGGTAATTCTGTTGTGTTTTTTCACTCCTCAGTGGGTGTTGGTCTTACACAGTTCACTATAAACTTCTTTCCCACTGCATCCATATTTCAGTACATCATATTCAGCAGTTCAGGAAGGATTTCTGTCCTGCTGCTTGTTAACTCTCATGTACTATGGCAAGCACTAGAATTGTCCAAACTCTGGAATTGTGGTCTTAAACCTACAGTGCAGCCCTCTGACAAAAAGCATTTGGCACAGTAGCCAGAGCTTTTGTTGCTAGAAATGGGTTCAGCATGAAAGATTTCCCACTCTGGGGGTCAGAAGTGGGAGAGAAAGGAAAATAATGAAAGAAATTGGGATATTTACTGTTACTTTAAAGGGGTGAAGTTGAAAAAGTAGTTGCATCTGAGCTCACTCTGGTCCCTGATAGGGGGAAGATGACAGTGATATTCCAGTTTGTAAAAGATTGTTGTGGAAGCAAAGGAAAAAAATCTTTATGTTTGTAATGGCTAAGAAAAGAAGTCAAGGGCTTAAAATTCATCTAAGGGGATTCAGGTGAGACATGATAGAAGACTTTCTAGCTGTCGTTGTCAGGCTCATGAAGCTTTGGATGAGATGTTCTGAGGGCAGAACTGAGTCTCTATTGGATTTTTAGGAGTAGTTTAGACGAATGTTTAACGCAGAATGCCATGAATATAGCCAATTCTGCCTTGAGGCCTGTTGAGGGCAGAACTGAGCCTCCATCAGATTTTTAGTAGTTTAGATGAATGTTTAACCCAGAATGATATGAATATAGCCAATTCTGCCTTGAGGCCTGGGGCTGGGGATGAGTTCCCATGGACCTTTGTATCCATAGCTTTCAATGATTTAGAAGGCTTCCAGATACGCACTGGGAAAAGTCATCACTGTTTCACAAGAGGTCATCAGATTCCCTGTTAAAGACAGGACAACAGCTTCTCTACAGCCGTGTGGAACACAGCAGAACACTCCAGTTCAAAGGTGCTTTCCCTTAAAGGCATATTTCATTCTCACACTCCACAGGTCCAAGGTCAGCACCTGTTTGCTGGTAACAGACCCCCGAAGCCAATACGCGGTGCGGCTCCCTCACAAGCTGCCTGGAATGCACTACAGTGCTGATGAACAGTGCCAGATCCTTTTTGGGACCAATGCTACATTCTGTAAGAATATGGAGGTAAGAGCTCGTGGGGGGTACCTGGAAACAAGGTGGGAAGTGGAAATAAAGCTGTCAAGCACTGGCAAAGAAAAGGAGCCTGTGCTCTTTTTGCTCAGAACTACTTAATGGGATTTTCAGCATGTTCAGTAATATTGATACAAAACCAGTAGTCAAACTCCCTCCGTGCTGACAGCACATTTGTATGCAGTCCTCCTTTCCCCACACTGGTCTTATTAATCTCCTAGAGCAGACCCAGAAAAACTTGTGTTTGTACTTGGTCTTAATTTACGGACAGTTCCCTTTTTACACTGTTTTGCTGACGTACTCAGTAGAGATTGTTTTGCTGGCAGTTCAGCTGAGGTCAAAGTCTCCTCTCATGAGTGCTTGCCGGCTTCCAGAGTCAGCTTAGGCAACTGGCTGAGTTTTTTTAGTAAACCTTACCTTCAGACCATTACAATGTTCTTAGGATCTGACTCTTAACTCTGTACCAAGGAAATATTAATGACCGCTTGTTTGATAAGGCCAGTTAGAGATTTGTGCAGAATTAGGTCCCTTCCTATATGTTTTCTAAGCAACATGATGTTTAGTCAGGATTTGAGTGCAACATTGTTGGTTGGCAAAATGGAAACACTGATTTTTGGTGTCTCTAGGAGTAGATCATATTTGAGATGAGGCTGTCTGACTTGTCCTCTGGAATTTAGACAGCTACACTTTTCCTAAGGTCTTGCACGTAGTTAGATGTCTTCATCCTGACCAAAGCTTGTCTGCATCCCACTGTAGATAGGGACTGGAGAAATACTACTTCCAGTGTGGCCTCAGAAGTATTCAGAAGAAAGTCATGAAGCACTGTGTCCTGTCACCAGCACCAGCTGGCAGCATTCTGCTCTGTATAGACAGGCATGAAGCAGGCAGGTTTCTTGCTGTCATTAACTAGCCATTTGGGTTTTTTTGAGGTCTCGTATTCCCATTGTGAACAATCTTGGGATTTTAAATCAGTGTTAACAAAGAAAATAATAATAGGTGATAACGGGGTATCTAAGTGCCAAATTACTAAAACTCTTGAACACATGCAAGTCCTGGGAACGTGCTCTTTGTTTCACATTTGCTGTTTTATTTATTTTGGATTTGGAAACTAGCTAATATAAAACAATAAGAAAAGAATCTGGGTAGGTTGTATTTTCCAGCTCCATCAAGAAAATGCAGACCACCAAGACTACTGTACTGGAAGCAAAGTGTTAGAATATAGGTCTGTAAAGAAAACCCCAGATCTACCCAGGATGACTCAAGTTCTCCCACTTGCGTGGGTGTCACCCAGCTCGACTGGTGTTGGAATAGACATTTGCTATTTCCCGTTGCGATTAAAAAAACATTCTGTTTCTGGATAGTCCAGTGTCTAATGAGAATGTCAGCCTATTGGTAGGTGGTCAGCCTTTCTCAGGCAGAAAGTGCATGTCCAGTCTGGAATTGCTTCAGGGACAAGTTCCTTGCCAGAATAACAAGCCAAGAAGCAGTGTTCTTCTCTGTAAGATACAGACAGCAGGTGTTCGTGTCTCTCAAGATTTTTCACCAATCTTAATATTTGACATCTTTACAACACAATGAAAACTGTGCTCTTTCCCTTCCTCGCTCCCAAAGAAAAGCATATTTTGTAAGGACTTTAGTACTTTCTCATGAAAAGCCTTGTAGAACTTCAGCAGATTAAAACCAATTTGAAATCATTTATTAGAAATATTTTTCTGTTCTGTTCTCTTACATGCATTAAGAGTTAGTATTCACACTGTGAAGCTTTGGATCAATTATATCACATGCCCTTAATTTAAGTAAATATTTGCATCCTGTTATGCAATTTGAAACAGTGTTTGAAGGCTATGGAAGGAAATTCTTTACAGGAAATGACCAGCTTTAATTTTTAAGCTTTCAAAGTTTTTGTTCTTTTCACCTTTGTGTTTCTCATGCTTCATCTGCAGAATACTTGTATCGTAAGTCTCAAAGCTGTCTACAAAAATATGAACCAAAAAAAAATTGGCCCTAGTCATTGGCATTAGCTGTAGAAATTATTGGCAAATATAGCTGTCTCCTCTTTTAGCCAATGGTAATGTGGTATTTTTAATTCAATAAAGTATTAAAAAAATCCAAATGTAAAAGTAATAAACATTTGACAGTAAATATTTGCTACAAAAAGGAAATAAACTTCAGGAAATGAGCCTGCTCAATCTTTTTATGATTACATATGTCTACTGTCTATTTTCTTATTGAATAAAAGAGTTAAATTATAACATTTCATTGGAGATAGTTGAGCTACATAATTATATTGGGCAAACTAGAGGACCTATATTCAAAAATGCCACATAATCTGATTGTAGAGTGAATTTCAGAGATTAGATGAATCCAAAATGTCGACATTTTTGAGAAACTGCAGAAACTTTCTGTGCGGTGAGCTCTTTCCCTTAAAGGCATCAAGTCTCAAATTTTTGAAGGAATGTAATCTCCTTTGCCTTCAGAGAGTCGGGTGCCTGAGTGCTTGGTGGTATTTGGACCTCAGACACTGGTCAAACTAGATAGTTAATCCATGGGTATTCAACCTTTTCTGGATATTCCAGATTGGACCTCCAAAATTATGCTTAGTTGTTCATTTTTAATGATAACTCAGATGCCCAAGTGTGAAATAGTAACCCTCAGAACGGGAAGTTTCCCAAACCAGGTATATTGCAGCTATTCTGCTTCAAATTTGCAGAACAAAAATTGAAACATAATGAGGTACACTCAGCTTTACATAGACTATACCTCTTGACATTCTTTTTAACTTGCTTGGACATTGCATCTATGTTTTAATATACTAAAATTTTAAAAAATGAACTAATTAACAGCATGAGTATATGATAATTAGCTTAATCATAGCCTGTTGTTGTAATCTATGACCTGCAAGATTTGTAATTTAGGGTCTGGTTCTGTAACACCCATGTGAGGCAAGATTTACTGGTGCGAGTCACCTTTTTAAGGAGCTGTGGAATTAGGCTTTTGAGCTGGATGCTGGTTAAGCAGAGATTAATAAATTTCTATTTATTTAAAAATCACCGTTTCTATCATGATATCATATGAATAATAGATGGAGAGATTACCTGCCAGCTCCTTGAGGGAATGCAAGTCCATTTTGGTGTGTGCTCCGCTCATAGTTTTATTGGTTTGAGATACATGCAGGTGGCTGGTTTTGGATTAACTTTAAGCTGAGTATTAGATGGGTGAGTCCTTGCTCATCCTCAGGAAAGTAAATACTTTCATGTCTCTGTGGAAGAATTAGTTTTGATCTGAGGAACTGAACAAGAAAATAGAAGTTGGGCAGTTTGGTTGGGCAAGCGTGGTGGTTTCATGTGACAATGAATATCTCAAGACCCTTCAGTAGTTCCCCCTTCATATCTAAGTTAGAGAGTTTTCTCTGGTAATATGTAAAAGGATTGAAGGTGCTTTCACACGGTGCTTTCTGTTAATCTTCATTGCAAATGTTGCTGTTGTCTGATCAATGAGAACCCTTATCTAGCAGGACATCTTTATTCTGAGGGAGATAAGTCGCTTTTAGCAGAAACTAAATAGGTGGTGGTGTCATGCTCAAACTCTGAGCAAAATCATGATGTGAGTTGTGGAAAAAACTAAACAGCATTGCAGCTTTGGCACTGCATTGGGCATTATCGGCGTACCCCAAACACAGAGACCTTTGGGGCTTCTGGTTGCAAAGTGTCGATGTGAGTCGGGGGCTAACATGGTGAGTTGTGCAAATTACTGGAGATTGAACCTGCCTGACCTCTCTTCTTCAGCTCCACACTACTCTATGAATCGAGTATTGTGAATTCCTTTGACCCCTACGTGAGAGGAAGCAGAAAGACTCAATCCCACTCAAGCGATGAAGGCTTCTGCAGAGAGCAGGCTTTAACTCTTTCCTGTCCCCTTTACGTGAGAGGAAAAGCACAGGTGGTTTCTGCTGAATTGCTTGCAGAGCAGAGATGGTGTTTCTCCACCAGAACTGCCTAAAAACGCATTGTTCATAACCTCACATGAAAATGAGCTGTGTGTTTAATCAGAACACTGGCTTTATTTTTCAGACTGGCATGCCTACTAACAGCGGCTTTTGCGCTGAAATTATATTTATGGAAAAAAATGTGATTTCTATCTCTTGTATCCAGTGTTTGGCTTTATGTTTTATATGCCTTTTGGCTTATTTATTATTAACACATTTTTGCGGGTTTTTACATAACCATTATCTTTCAGTATTGTTTTGAGTCAAAACTGTGCTTAGGCTAAAATGGCATGTGGAAGGAGATTAGCATTGCTACAAAGAGAGTTTTTTGCGAAAAAGGGACACTGTCAACTCAGATGTAACTGAGAATGTGAATTTTTACATGACACTGTTTTTAGAAAAATGAAAACAGCTAGAATTGGCTCTACTGTTTATTCTTCAGTTCAAATTGCTTTTTAACAAATATAGTTATTATCCATTATCTATGAGCCACGGAGCAGCAGCACAGAACAGGAGAGAGAAGTTGATTGTAAGCCAAAGGAGACCAACTATACTTCTGGGCTAAAATAGAAAAGGAGAGGAACCAAAAAACAAAGTAAAGGAAGAGCAACAATTGTAATAATGAAATGGATTTAACGTATCCCTTCAGTGTTTATATTTGTCAGTGTGGTGGTGAATGTAATTAAGCAATTGTGGGTGTCTCTGTGGTCTTGATCTTGCAAAGAGGCTGGCGGAGTGGACTCTTGGACTCCACGGATGGGAATCAATGGGCCTCTGTCTGTTTTTCCTTTGCAGTCATTTGCAAGATCCAGACGATGATAGTAAGCCCTATTATTTAGTAATGTATAGAATATTTACAAGAACATGGTAATTACGTTGGGAGCTGATTTATACTGAAAATAATAGGTTGCATTGTCATTTTCTGCACAACCAGGGACTTTGTCTGCATAATTTTCCATTACACACGTTAGCTTCTTTGTAAATATAATAATAATAGCAATAAATCTGG